CCCCGCTAAGAAAAGGCCGTGTGGGAGCCCCAAGCGCCACTGAGCCAAGGCTCCCCGCCGCCTCCCTGCCTCAAGTCCTGCTGTGGATGGCCACCCAGGACAAGGACTCACGCAGAGATGCACGGGCTGGGGTTTTCCCAGGCTAAGAGGGCCTCCAACCCGGATCCCATAGGATGTGTGCCTCTGCCGCCAGACGCTGGGGAGCCGCGGCCAGAGACCGCGCTGCCCCAAACCGCACATGCTGTCATGCACTGCACACCGCAGCGGAAGTTCCGTGATCTCACCCTTATCACAGAGCCAGGTCGGGCTTCTGTTTGTCAGCACTGGTCGGTATCCAAGGAAATGGCCACGCTGCTGAGCCGCTGAATCAGGGGTGGTTTGTTTGGGAACAGGGCGGGGGCCCAGGGGGCAAAGGGCTCCGGGAGCCAGAAGAGAGGAGAGCCCGCCAGGCCCCGCTCAGAGGGCAGGGCCGCTCCCTTGGCCTGGTGGGGACCTGGACAGAAGCCCCGGCGGCGGCAGCCACAGTGGCAGAGCTGGGCGGTGTGGGTGGGGGGGAGTGACGGAGGAAGACACCTCAGAGGCCATTCCGTGGAGGTTGCTGGAGGTGGGACTGGGGTGCCCCCCAAGTGCCCGGAGCCCCTCCGTCCAGGCACTCCCCTCCCCACCTCTGGGGGCGTCTCAGGGCTGGCTTCCGCAGCCCTCTCCCCCTGACCCTGCAAATCTCTCCCAGACGACGGAGGACGGGTGTCTGCCTGCAGAACTCCAACCCTCTCATTAGAAGGAGCATCTTGCGGGTGGGCGGCTTGCCTGTTCCAGCCACAACTCCAGGCGCCTCCAGGGAGGGGCTCCCCCAGGCCAGCCTCCCCTTGAGCTGAGCCTTGGAACACCGTTCCAACCGGTCCCAGGGAAGGGGACAGGCCGCCCGCTCCCCCCCCCCAAGTGCTCCGAGGAAGTCAGGGGTCCTCGCACAGCTTGGCTGCCTCCGCCCCCCCCCCTCCCATGCTACCAGGGCTGTACAGAGTGACTGTGCCAACCCAAAAGATGCGATGTGACCGGCAGCTTCCCTTTGCCCAAGGGCAGCCCCCGCCCCATGTGGACTCCCCCTGCCACCACCACTAGCATCAGCATGGCTTTTCTGGGGGCACCATCCTGCACCGGCACGTGTGTGTGTGTGTGTGTGTGTTGGATGAGGACCGGGGGCTCACAGCTGCCCTCCCCAACCCAGGGCACAACCAAGCGCCTGGCAGTCACCCACTGATGGGACAGCAGCCCAGGTCCCTCAGGCCGGGCGGGAGAGTCCCAGGCCAGCCTCCTGCTGCACCTCTCCTGTCCACAAAGGCACTGGTGGGGGGTGGGAAACCTTGCTCCCTCCAGCTGGAGGCTTTGGCGCCTGCTTCTTATTCAGTGCAGAACAGCAATGCCTTCAATGGCTTCACCCAGGGAAGGTCCAGCGGGGAACATACCAAGAGCCCTGCTGGGTCAGACCAGGGAGGGTCCATCCAGTCCAGCCTCCCGTCTCACACAGGGGCCAGCCAGTTCCTCTGGAGGGCCAACAACAGGGCAGAGAGGTCGAGGCCTTCCCCTGATAAGAGCATCAGAAGAGCCCTGCTGGGTCAGACCAGGGAGGGTCCCTCCAGTCCAGCCTCCCGTCTCACACAGGGGCCAGCCAGTCCCTCCGGAGGGCCAACAGCAGGGCAGAGAGGCCGAGGCCTTCCCCTGAGAAGGACACCAGAAGAACCCTGCTGGGTCAGACCAGAGAGGGTCCCTCCAGTCCAGCATCCCGTCTCTCACACAGGGGCCAGCCAGTCCCTCCGGAGGGCCAACAACAGGGCAAAGGGGTCGAGGCCTTCCCCTGAGAAGGACACCAGAAGAACCCTGCTGGGTCAGACCAGGGAGGGTCCCTCTAGTCCAGCCTCCCGTCTCACACAGGGGCCAGCCAGTTCCTCTGGAGGGCCAACAACAGGGCAAAGAGGCCGAGGCCTTCCCCTGAGAAGGACACCAGAAGAGCCCTGCTGGGTCAGACCAGAGTCCAGCCTCCTGTCTCACACAGTGGCTAAACTGTTCTTCTGGATGGTCAACAGAAGGGCAGAGAGGCTGAGGCCTTCTCTTGATGTTGCCTCCTGGCCCTGGGATCCAGAGGTTTGCTGCCTCTGAAGGGGGAGGTTCCCCTCAGCCCCCATGGCCAGTAGCTATTGACAGACTTATCTCCATGGATCGATCTAGTCCCCTTTTAAAGCTATTTGTTCCTGTGGCCATCACAACATCCCCTGGGAGCAAATTCTACCTTTTAATCACCCTCTGTGTAAAGCGGTATTTCCTTTTGTCTGCCCTGAACCTCCTGCCCATCAGATCCATTGGATGCCCTCGAGTCCTAGTCTCTTGGGAGGGGGGGGGGGAGAAACCCTCTCTTGTCCCAGCCCTACGAGATAAGGGTTACCAGACCTGTACACGGTATCCCCAACGAGGCCACACCATGGATCTGTGCCGGGCCTTTATGATATTGGCCATTTTACCTTTCAGCCCTTTCCTGATCATGTGGGAGAGGCCCAGGAGGGGGTTTCCCAGAAGCGG